TGATTCTGTGCCGGCTTCACTTTGCTGTTCTAATCCAAAGATCCCTAGTCTTGCATGGTCCGCACGTCTCCCCTCAGACCCTCTATGGGCAAGACCTTAGCAGCTCCCAGTCCCAAGCCCCTTCAAGTCCCTGGGGTGAGAGAGGCCCACAGCACTAGGCCTCAGCACATAGTGGGTGTTCAGTCCATGGTAAAGAGGGAATAAGCAGGGAGTGTTTCATGAAGGCAGCCTCAGAGGGATCTCAAATGCTTCACAGAAGAGCATCTGGGACAGGCACAGCAGGAACCTACGTGTGGAAGTAGGAGAGGTAGAAACAATAGGGGAACAAGGCGGGAGGCGGTTCAGCTGGAGGAGAGCCAGCTGAAGGGAGCAGGAGAGACGCTGGAGAGGAAAGAAGGCAGGGCCTAGGCATGCAAACTGGCCTGGGGGCTGCCCCTAGGTGTGAGCAAAGCACTTAGCTCTGGCGTCTGGACTCTCAGGGAATACTGTGGTGGGCGTGGGCAGGGGCAGGCACAGGCAAAGGCACAGGTAAGGAAGCCTGGATTCTGTCTCTCCTCCCCATCTGTCCCTTCCAGGGAACCTTCTCTGACTGCCCTACTCCCACTGCCTCCCTGTCCTGGTGCCCCAAGGTGCTCCTGCTCTCTTCCATAGCACAGGTAAGGCCTTGGCCATGACCACACTAGGTATACTCTCCATCACAGGCTACACATTAACACACCACAGATGTGCCCCTGGTCACCTAGTCACTCAAAAATACAATTACATGGTTGTATCCCATCACCACACACTAGCACATGATGGTGCAGAGGCACACGCTACTGCAGGCATACTTTGCACACTGTCTGGCTCCTGCTGTGGGGCCTTTGCCTCTGATTCTCCCGAGAGCTTGCCCTGCCCCCTGGTGGACAGTCCCCAAGCCACTGCCCTTCTGGAAGGACCCTAACTATCCACCCCCTTCTGGGTCTGATTCCTGCCCCAAGAAGCTTCTACCCTTGAATAGCCTCTTCCCTCCGACTGGCATTCAGACCAGGCTCCCTTGAATCTACTCGCACATAGGTCCTCCTCCTCCATCAGACTGGTGCTGTCAGGCAAGGCCTTCTCAATTAGGGTGACCAACTATCCCGGCTTGCTTGGGATTGAGGGGTTTCCTAAGATTTGAGATACTCAGTGTTAAAACGGAGAAAAATCCCAAACAAGCTAAGATGAGTTGGTGATCCTATCCTCAGACCCATGTGCCTTCAGAGTAGTCTCTCCTCAGACTGGAACCTTCAGACTCTCTAGATTGGCCTACCCCCTCAGACTGGCCCTCCCAAACAATATCGCTTCAGCAGCATGTCCCAGACCAGCCTCCCTTCAGAGTAATCATGTCACACAGGCCATCTCAGACACACTCACCTTCAAATTAGCCTTCCTCATCAGAGTGCCCCTGTCAGACAAGGTCCCCTCCAGCCTCTTTCCTCAGACTGGCTCTATCAGATCCCCCCCTCAGATCTTCCCCCCTCTGCCCTCCTCCAGAAGACGGAATGGTGTGAAGATTATACCCCAACTCTTTCTATCCCCAGGGCTTTAGCCCAGCACCCCCAGACAGGTGCTACGATGTGAGGGTCAGGTTCAGTAGCTCTGGGCTGTGGGCAGAGTGAACAGTGGGCCTCAAAACATAGACACGCAGGTGCAGGGTGCAGAGCTGGGGATCGGAGCCAAACATTCCTTTCTCTCCATGTGAGAATGAACTTCCTCAGAGTCCTAGCCTAGGGAGTTAATGAGCTCACCAGCTCTGGGGTGTTCTCAGGGCCGGAGGCTACTCAGGAGGGATTCCTGCTTAGTGTCTCCTGACCACCTCCCTCTCTCCTGGCTGGCTGCTGGAAGGCAGATGTGGAATTTGTGTGCACAGATAGACGCCTGCCCAGGAGCAGGAATGAAGGGCAGGCAGGTGGCCGAGAGGGGGCAGCAGAAGCCAGGACAGTCCCCGGCTGAGGCCAGAGAGGCATAGCGGCCACCGGCTGGGGTCTGGACCAGCACAGGAACACACAGAGGGAGGCAAAGAGAGGGAAGGACTGACAGAATTGGAAGAGACACAGAGAGACAGAGATGGAGATGGACACAGAGACAGAGACAGGGAGAAAGGTAGAAAAAGGGAAGACTGAGTGACAGGAGAAACAGAGAGGCAACAACAGGGATGGAGACAGAGAAAGAGATGTCTAGAGACAAAGAGGGCAGCTGAGATAGAAGATGGAGACATAAAGAGACAGAGATGGGATAGAGACATAAGGATAGAAACACAAGAATGGGGATGGAGACAAAGACAGGCAGAGATAGGAATGGGAGAGACAGAGAAGAGATGGGAATGGCGTCAGCAAGAAGATAAGGGCAGAGACAAATTAATGTTATAGGAATGGGGCACAGAGGGGGATCTCTATCCCCAGAGCACCTTGGGGAAAGAAAGAGAACTAGTGAGTTGAGAGGCTGGGCTGCTATGCACATTGGGCCTGGGATCCAACCCTCCCCCAGCAGCCCCCCTCAGCAGTGTTTTAACTCTGGATTCTGACTTAGCTCCAAAAAATGATGTCTGTACCTATCCCCAGCTCCCCAGAACCACCATAGGAAATAATGGATGTGAAGGAAGAGCACTCAGAGGCAGCAGATAGCAGTCGAGTCCCTCCACGGCAAGTCCCTCTGTGAGGTCAAGGGCCAGGACCCCCAAGGAGGGATTACTCTAGGCCCAGGCCCAGTCTGGTTAGAGGTATGACACTACCCTTCCAGCCACCTTGAGGCTTGGGAAGGGGCAGGGTCTCTCTCTCGGGGTTGGGGGCAGGGAGATGCCCCAGTCCTCCTTTCCATCAGCCTCCAAGGCTCCAGCAGTCTCCCTCTCCTCCTCCTCCTCCCCAGGCCCCACATAATTGCTTTCCCATGTTGCTAATGGAGGCCAGATTGCTGATGCCCAAGCCCTGGGTGGGCGGCTGGTGGGTCAGGGTTGACCAAGGCTCTCAAGGCAGGAAGGTAGCAAAGACCAGAGACCCCGTAACTTTGCCCTCCCACCCCACCCCAAGGACAGGGAAGGGGGAGGCTCAGACCCATCCCAGGAAGGCAATGTCCTTGGCAAGAGTTGGTGGTCCCTGTTCCCTCCACAACTACTGGACCTGCAGGCTCACGCCCAAGCCACACCTCACAGGGACCAGATAGGCAGGCAAAACCGGGGGTCCAGGGTACAGAGGCAGGTTCATAGCTACTTATCAGATGTCCACCCTGGAAGCTTCCTCCTGTGAACAAGGAGCCATGTGCTCCCATAGCTGGGGCCATTCCGCTTGAAAAGCCACAGGCCTGTCTCCCCTTACATCAGGCCTTTGTTTTCCATGGGGTCTACCACTTGGAATACCCCTCTCCTTTAGTCCTGGCTGGTAGGAGAGCCAGCCACCTTCACTCTGAGCCCCTCACCCGGCCCCAAGTCCTGTCCAGGCCTGACTCATCAGTGCTGAGGACTGTGACTCCTCTTCCCAGAGCCTGATCCCAGGCAGGCCTGGTGAGACCAGGAAGGAATGTCTGAGGGAAAGGATTTGAACTGGG